CTGAACCGATCATAATTATTCCTCAATGGATCGAGTCCAGACCACAAAATTTTTTGGTCGGGGTTCGGGCTGGCATCCAGGCTAGTCAAATGGTGTCGCTATTAGACAGTTTAATTGTTATTATTGCTGCTCTGAGGTTTCTTATAGGCTACTGTTGACTGTTTTATCAAATTTTTTGAAGAAGAAGAAGAAGCATTCTCTTGCCTCGGAGAAAATCTACACGGGAATAGCGACAATTGTGTAAATAAATTACTACTTATAGGGCAACCTTGAATTAAAACCTGTGGGCAGTTTTTCTAGATCCTTTTGTGAACTTCGTTTACACTTGTATGCTGCACAGAGGGTCATCTTAAAAGTGCCGTCGGAGCTACCAATCTCTGTATAACGCATAGAACGGCCGTTGGAGCCCTCTGCTGGTAGGGAATCGTAAGATGGCCGCTCGAACACTTCCGGTGGCTTCCATAGACAGTAAAAGAAATGGACACAGCGACCCCATAGACTTCAACGGAGAAAAGTGAAGACAATTAGAAGCACTCACTTCCTGATGGCCGAACTTACTGCACAGGCTCAAACTGAGCTTGACAACGTAGATGTGACGTGAGCAACCTGTCTGAAAGTTGTGGGTCTTCTAGTAGCTGTGCCAAGAGAAATCTGAATCATTCCCTTCCGAATATTGCAGAGACTGAGAGCGTGAGTAGGAGCGGTCCATGAGCTATAGCAGCAGGATCAACTTTATGACTCAGATGTAAAGTTATTCGCTGTCAAAGTGACGCCAAAATGAATGGGAGTCAATGGAATGCTAACAGCAGGTGAAGGCTTGCTAGCCAATGGCGGCCCCCGGGGAGACTTCAGTTTCCGGCTGGTGGATTACCCCCTTGGTGGCTTCACTGCCTGGTGGCAGCTTAGAACATCATGAGCTATCAAGTCATTCTATATAGATTAGTGGGGTGCACCAGAGCCCATCTACGGAGAGCCTGGCCATTAAGTCCTATTGTACCGAATTGTGGTTGTAGTTTCACCAGAGTTCCACTGGGGGTGATCGCCCATGAGTGCAAAATAAATGGGAGTCTATGGAGCTAGACGGCTAAATTTGTCTCTTTCACCCGATTGCCGTTGAGAAATCGCAGATTTGATTGATTAGTTCAACATGGGTTATAGGTCGAAAGTTGAATGAACGAGTACTTATGTCCTTTCGATTTCTTACAGGTTGAGTTGTTGTTGCCCTTAACACGCTAGCATTCTGCTAACGAACGCTGGTTGGTCAGTGAAGGACTTATTACGACCAGAGATACCGCTTGGTGGCATCGTGCCATCCGAAGCGGGACCAGAATGTTAAGAACTTTAGTTTTACAAAAACTCTTCTAGCACGTGTATTTACCTGTGTCAGCTGTCTCGAGAGAAAAGACCAAAGTGACTGAAGGATTGCGGTTAAGCAGTATCTCTGGTCGTACGATGTGTATGCCGTCTTGACATTTTAACTTTTTATGTTAAACTAGACTTTTTAAAGCAAATAAGTGACTGTAAAAAATCTAACACCCAACAATGTGTCATTTCTTTGCATCTCGTTTCGAACACAACATTCAAATTACTAGACAAGAAATTATATCCTGAGAAAAGAAATATCCTATAGCTATACCCAATTATATCCTGAGGGGTATAGCTATACCCAATAGGGTATAGCTATACCCTATTGAGGGGTATAGCTCCATAGACCTCCATTCATTCTGCACTCGTCCTGTGAGCGCCCTCATATGGAACCAGAGTGGAACTGCAAACAGTTCAGAAGCCGGAAGTTTACTGAGAGTGGAAGTTCTCCCCTTATTAGACATTCTCTGGGTGCACCCAAAACTACGGTTGTTTTTCACTTCTACTTAAATAAATCTTGTAGCAGAGCTACAGCAAGCGTTTTTCAGTGGTGGAAATCCATTAGCTACTAAAACTTCTTTGTCGTTGTGGAGAGAGCAGTGCATGGTTGGATAGCAACGACAGACGCCACAGGAAAATTGGACCGAATTTTACTATTAATAATAAAAGATAAGCCATTGTAAATGTCAGTAATTTATCTTTCTTAATTCATTATTTTTATAAAAATTATTTAAAGGCTGAAATATCTGAGGTTTATCTTTTTGTCTTATCTAGGGTGTAATTCAATGTAGAACCGCCACTGGGTCCAAACATTGTACAAAACACCTAAGGCATGCGTGATTACCAACGGTAAAGGGGGACACGACAGGGGTGTCCGCTGTCGCCATTATTGTTCAACATCACATTGGAACCTCTGGCCATTGCGATCAGGGCTAATATAAACAGATAAGTCCTTACCTCATTTAATGGGGACAGTCCAATCCTATTCTAAAGTGTCTGGATATAAGATAAACTGGACAAAGTCAGAAGCTATGCCTATATCTGGAATATGTAATGCAAACATGGTAACTAAATTTGGCTTTAGATGGATCCCAAGAGGGATAAAATATTTGGGAATCAAGATAATCAGTTGGAAGAGTTAACTATGTTAAATTTACAAAACATAAGTAATAACCTGAACAAATGGGGAAAAATTCAGTTAACTTTATGGGGGAAGGTGAATATAATTAAGATGGTGGTCTGATTCTTAATCAATATGATATAATGGTCAAACGTTTCCTATGGAATGGGGAAAGGCCCAGGATAAAGCTTAGCAAATTATGTGCCTGTCGGGATAAGGGAGGGTTGGGACTACCAGACCCTCGCCTCTATCAGGTATCTTATGAAATGGCCAAATTGGCCAAACATTGGAACAATGATAGTCAATTAGATTGGGTTACTGTATTGAGAAAGCTTTGTCTCAGCCATACAGCCCTATTGAGCATTTGTCTAAATGTTTGGACATGACCACAAATCCTATCATGAGGTATTCCAGAGAGGTATGGGTGAAGATTCACAAGATGCATAACATATCACAATGTAAACAACCATACTCTTTCCTATGGCATAATTCCGGGTGTATTTATGTCTTATAATAACCTTGTACAGAAGTATAATCTAAAGGGAAACTAACATTCCTGGAAATATCTACAAATATTGTGATTATATTTATATCTATAAAAATTGTGTTTCTAAAAAAATCCAGTACTCGGACGGAAACCATATATTGGACTTCCTAACACTGCCTCATTCTCAACAAAAAGCCTCTGCCTCTACAGGACGACCAACCATGTGCTCAGCAATGACTGCTCAAATTTAAAGACAATATAGGAAAAGGACATTAGGGTTGTAATCAGGGACGAAGAGTGGAAAATAATTTTGTCAAATACAGGTAAATACATTAGAGAAGCCAGAGGGCAATTTACACAGTACAAAATCATACACAGGTTCTATCTGACACCTCTTAGACTTAATAGAATGGGTCTGACAAATAATAATGTTTGTTGGAAATGTCAAAAGGACAGAGGTACTTTTTTATTCAGCTGTTATGTCACCAAATTTGAAATATTTTGAGCAAATGGCTTGGAACAACAATACCATTATCACCATAATTGTGTCTATTGGGAGACAGGGAGCAGATGCCAAATATTTCAAATGGAGAGTTCGCAGTGATCATGGTGGGGGTCTCTTGGACGGCTAGAGTCATTTTGAAACACTGGAAAACTCAAAGAACCCCAGAGTTAAAAGAATGGGTCAACGTAATGACAAAGACAGCCTCTTATGAACGTTTGCTTTACAAACTACATAATAAGAACAGAGCATGTGTCCCTGTGTGTATCCCTGTCTGGGAAGATGTTTGGTCTTATGTGACGTTGTCTGTCCATGTGACACAATAACTCTGACTCCTCATTACTTTCTTTTCTTTTTTTTTTCATTTAGTATTCCGTTTCCTTCTGTTAATTGCAACCACTGTATATATTTTGGCCTTATATGTAGCATTTATTTATATCTGTAATCTATTTGTAGTATGATATTGTCATGTACCGGATGAAAAGAATAAAAACTTGAATGTAAAGAAAAAAATGCTTTTACATGAGATTAAAAACTATCAGGGTTTCTTGTTTTGAAATCAAAGCATAAAGAAACATGCACACATGCCAGCAAATGAGTTAACAGAGTAAAATCAGGATAAAGGGCTTAAATCCATAAGCAGATCTTGTTGGGGAATTTCATTTGTCTCATACATGGGTCTGAATATAAAATGCTGTAATGCTAGAGAAAACCAGGTTTGAATCTGTGATGTCTATACTAGAGAAAACTAGGCCTGAATACATGGGGAGATGTTAAAAAAGGTCTTGCCACCAATAAGAAAAAGGCATTGATGCGGTTAAACTTTCTGTCAAAATGATGGATGGTGACCTTTGATCTAGTTCCGCCCCTTGCGGTTAAACTTTCTGTCAAAATTATGGTGACAGTTAGTTTGATCAAGAAAAGGGGGCGTATTGGCTTTGATGGTGACAGTTAGTTTGATCGTTTTAAGTTAGTTTGGCGACAGGCCAAGGAGTAAGTAGAAAAAGATAACTGTATGAGCGCTAATTGGACACCTAACGATAAGAAAAAGGTATAAGACCTGAGCCGTGGCCCTTGTGGAGTCAGATGAGTGGCCGTCATCTCACTTTGTTGAACTGCTCAATAAAGTTATTCTTCTGAGACCTGAAACTTCGACTCTGAAAGATTTCTTCTGAGACCTGAACCAGACTTTGAAGACTTGAACCAAAGATCGAGAATTTGCCACAACATCTTAAGAATCTTAAAGAATCATATTTTTTTATATATTTTTTTACTCAACTGGGGCAAAAAACGGGCTTCAATAGTGTATGATTGTGCATGTCAACAACTAATTTTATGGAACTTCTTGTCCTTTTTGTATCTTAAACATTCTTACCAACACCTAGTTTTACTATGACGAAAAAAGAGAAGTTAGGAAACAGCTAATGTGTGAGGTGTGTCATGAGCAAGTACATACATTTGTATTTGAAACTATACTTTTATATACATATGTACATTATGAATGCATTAAAACTGAATACAAAATATGACAATTCAAAATTTGAGATTGATTACATTAAATACAAAAAAAACAATGCACGTTTATTCATGTTTTCTAATCTAATTATGTAATTGTAATTTGTTGACAACACTTTTTTTTAAATAAAGTGTCATCCAGTACCTGTTTATTGTCAGACAACTGTTTTTTCCTCTGTACACATTTCTACTCTTTTTCCATTTCTAGTGTTCCATGTAGGCTGAATAAAATTTGTTACTGCCAAAGCTACAGTTTGTTCAACAGATCAAGTGTCAGTTACAGCAGAAAAGTAAAAATACCACTGAATTTCACTGAAAAATAAAAAGGTTTGTGTTACGAAATCCCGCACAAGAGCCATGGTAGTTCAGAAGTCAAAGTTAAATGAAGAACGGTAGTCTCTCTCCCATCTCTTTTCTCTCTCTTCTTTCCTCTCAAGTTGTTTGGCACTGAGGGTTGTTTCTCTCTCTTGTCTAAGTCTTTTTTCTTTATGTTTGTGTTGCACTGCCTGAGGATCTTTGGCCTTGAAGTGAGTGACTTTAGGCTGTGAGGTCACACCATATCCCAGTCCCGCCTGATCTCTCTTTAGTACTGTGCTTACTGGATTTTTGCGGCCGGAGTGGACAGGTCCAAGACCAGAGGAGGGGTCCCACCCCAAGCGGAGCATCATTTTATAGCTAGTGCTGGAAGAGGGCAGGCAGTATTGAGGGGTGGCTGGGGGGCGGAGCTCACTGAACTGATGCATTGTGGACCTGTTGTGTGCTTCAGTGTTGTCTGTGTAATGCACAGCACACACATTGCACCACTGAGAATGAACACTGTGGAAACAGACACACACATAAGTATAAATAGGTATAAAAAACGTATTTAAATGGAACAGCATTTTAGTGAAAACTTTTAATAAACAATAGAACATCATGTCAAATATGTGTTATACATGGGGGGGAAATACAAAAGAAAAGAAAAAAACACAGCATTGAGCATGTTTACTGTACATACTGTACATACACATTTATATGCTGATAACTCCTAAAAATCTGGGTTTTTTATTTATTTTTTATTAAACCATTGTCCCGGTTTACATGCAAACCAATAACCGCCAATGCAAGTAAACTGAATTTACAAGACTTATTCCCTGAAAGTGAAAAAAAGTCAATTACTTTATAAATTAATAAAAATTTAAAATATCGTTAATGTTGGGCAGAAACCCCGTATCACCATATTTCGTCTTTTTTTTTTCTTTCATAAATGTATTACTATCGATCACCCTTTACATCTGTCTGTGGGGTTTGGAAATTTTTGACAAATGAAAAGTATTAAAAAGAGCTTGTGACTAAACCTTGTAACTCCATTGGCTTTTCAAACTTACGGTACAGCCCTCCTCTATAATCAAAGAAGTGCTGCACGCAGTTTGTGCCGTCTCTGGTTCCCTTTCGAACGGTCACTTCGTATTGCGTAGCTATACGCAGTGGGGAAACTCCTTTTCCTCGATTTACTGAAGCCTATATGTAAAACGCATTTGCAGCTGCACAGCTAGCACACTGAGCGTCTGACACGCTCATAGGCTGTGTTGCAGCAACTGCCCATCCAATGGCGCGGGCGACTCTGACGCGCGACCAATGAGCTAGCCCAACGTCAGAGCCCGCCGAGGGGGCGTGGCCCAGCCTATATAGACCCCCGAATTCGCCATTATAGCAGATTTTACTCCTTCAGCGACAGTACACATGTCCCTGAGCTTTTTACTGTGTATTCGCCGTCGAACAAGCCTTTCAGCCTGAGCGAGCTTCTCTTCAGCAGACTTCGCTCGCACGTCGATTGTCTCCTGACGCCGTCTCACCTGTGGCTATCCGGCGACATCCTATATCCTTTGTATTATTATTTTGGATTCTTTTCAGTATGCCTCGTTCATCCTGCGCCACGTGCGGAGGCCGTCTGCACGAGGCAGACCAGCACACGAGCTGCATTTCCTGCCTGGGTGTCGACCACGCAGAGAATGCTCTCTCTGCCGGCGGATGTGAGGCCTGCGACTGCATGCCTATCTCCGTGCTGCGCAATCGGCTAGCTCTCTCCCGGGACGGCGAGGCCGCTTCAACCACGCTTTCCATTCCGAGGAAGAAGAAGCGTCGCAGCCAACGGCAACCGGAGGGTATGGAGATTTGTGAACGCACGCCGGCCGCGTCCCCGCGTGCTTCACTTTCTCCGACTCAAACGCCATCACCGGTCCTGTTCGCAGGAGACCAGCCCCCTCCCCCGCCCTGCGGCTGATAGCCAGCGCCAGTCAAGGCCCGCGAAGCGCTACCCGCTCCCCAGGCGTCAAGGCCCTCGACCCAGCGCCGGGGCCGACCAGGCGCCTCCGAAGTCGTCCTAGCACGGAGGGGAAAGAGAGAGGGCTCGTGTCTCGCGCTAGCCGGACCACCCTCGAAGAAACCAGCAAAACTTCCCACAGCTCCCTGTTCAGTTCAGGCGGCTGGGGATTTTATTATTGTAAACAGGCCCGCAGCAGTGAGCGCGTCTTTGCAAACAAACGCCGTTTTCACGGCGACCCAAATAAAGCACAAAAAGAGCATGTTTCACAATCACAACACACGGGTTCACGGTCCCCCTTCACTAGGCGGCCCCCGCCCTGTTGTAACACTGACTTCCCCCCGGGCAAAAGCCTATATAGTCAGTCAAACACTCAGTATGTGCACAAATCACATTATAAGGGTATCAGGTCCCCCTATGTTAGGCGGTCCCCCCCATTCAGTGTGTCACGCCCTAGCCACACGAGTGATGGCCTGGCAAGCCATCCCTGGTGTGTCGAGTTGGGTCATAAACACTATAAAGCGAGGCTACTCGCTCCAATTCGCTCGCAGACCCCCGAAATTCCAGGCGGTTATCGAGACATCGGTGAGAAGCGCCGCGGATCACGTGCTTCGCATCGAAGTTCAGTAATTATTAGCAAAAGGAGCGATAGAGTCAGTCCCTCCCGCGCTAATGTATTCGGGGTTTTACAGCCGCTATTTTCTAATTCCAAAGAAAGACGGCGGGCTCAGACCCATACTAGATCTGAGGCGTTTGAACAGGGCTCTCATGAGACGGCCGTTCAGAATGTTAACACTCAAACAAATTCCCTGGAAGCTTTTCTGTCAAACCTCAGGGGTCACCACGTCCTGGTCCGTACAGACAACGTGTCTGTGGTGGCCTACATAAATCGCCAGGGTGGCATCAGGTCAGGCAACCTGTATGCTATGGCGAGGGACCTCCTCATGTGGGCACAGGCCAATCTGAGCTCTCTGAGAGCAGCGCATGTCCCGGGCGTCCAGAATGTGGGCGCGGATATGCTCTCAAGGGGCAACACTCCCCTAGGCGAGTGGTCCCTGAACCCTCAGACGGTCAGTCTAATATGGGAGATGTTCGGCGAGGCCGAAGTCGACCTTTTCGCCTCGAGAGCCAACACCCACTGCAGGGTGTTCTTCTCGAAAAACAGGGACGCGCTGGCTCATCTCTGGCCCAGCCGCCCCCTTTACGCTTTTCCCCCCGTCTCGATGATCCCACAAGTGATCGAGCGGGTCAGGGAGAGCGGATGCCCAGTCCTTCTGGTGGCTCCTCTCTGGAAATCCAGACCATGGTTTCCGGAACTGGTTCAGTTGTCAGACACGACCCCCTGGCCTGTTCCGATGAGGAAGGATCTCCTCACACAGGCCAACGGAACGATATGGCATCCCCGACCCGATTTATGGGCCCTACATGTGTGGCCCCTAAACGGGTACCCGGGGACCTTCCGGACAGGGTCTTAAGCACTATCTCTGAAGCAAGGGCCCCGTCTACTCGGCGCCTTTATGCTTTAAAGTGGTCGGGTTTTTCCAGCTGGTGCTCGAGAAATCGTATTGACCCGGAGTCATGTGAGGTTTCGGTGGTGCTCTCCTTCCTGCAGGAGCTACTGGACGCGGGCCGCATCCCGTTCACGCTCAAGGTGTATGTGGCAGCCATTGCAGCGCATCATGCTCTGGTGGCTGGCCAATCACTAGGAAGGAATGACCTGGTGGTAAAGTTTCTGAAGGGTGCTAGAAGGATTAACCCCTCCAGGCCCCCTTCGGTGCTGCCTTGGGACCTCTCCACGGTCCTTAGGGCCCTGAGGGGACCACCTTTTGAGCCGCTCCAGTCGGTTGATCTAAAACCACTTTCGCTAAAGACTGCTCTCCTGTTGGCATTGGCATCTATCAAGCGAGTGGGAGATCTGCAGGCCCTCTCTGTGAGTCCTGCATGTTTGGAGTTTGGATTGGATGACTCCAGGGTCATTCTCAAACCCAGGCATGGTTACGTACCCAAGGTGCTCTCAACGCCGTTTAGAGCACAAGTTATTACACTGTTAGCCCTTCCCCCTTCTGCCGAGGATGGGGAGGTTAATCTTCTATGCCCTGTCAGGGCGTTGAGAATCTATCTGGAGCATTCTGCGTCTTTTAGACAATCAGAACAGCTGTTTGTCTGCTTTGGTGGCCGATCTAAGGGTGATCCAGTCACTAAGCAAAGACTGTCTAGATGGATAGTGGATGCCATTTCTTTGGCCTACACCTCAGTGGGTCAGGTTTGCCCCATAGGTGTCAAGGCCCATTCGACCAGAGGTATGGCCTCGTCGTGGGCTTGGTCATCTGGGTTTCCCATTCAAGATATTTGTGATGCGGCCGGCTGGTCCTCGCCTTCCACATTTATGAAGTTCTATAATATGGAGGTACCTTCCCTGCAGGCGAAGGTGCTTTCGGTATGATTAAGACCTGACAGTGGCTGGTCTTGTCTACAAAAATTACTGTGCATAATCACATACATATTTATATAAACCCGCTTAGGCCGGTAATAAAGTTATACTAATAATCCCGACGGTGTCTGGTTTTGTTAGTATATTCTGTTAGTTGTACTGACTTTATATATATGTGACCCGATCTGGCGAAATGAGTCGGAAGTCGCAACGTTCTATTTTAAGATATGGGCCGATTATGTGGAAAAACAATGAAATAATAGATTTTTTTTTTTTGTGCTAATTTCAAAGAACAGACATTCAAAAATAATCTCCCAAAGTTTAGTAGTCCAGATAATTGAGTAAAGGTATCTAAATTACTATTAAAGTTTACAAAGTTTTACTAAATTCGCTGGAAATGAACATTGCTTTTCTCAACTCCTCTCGTCACCTCTGAGCATTTCCCGGGTATCCCCTGAAACGTCACTATCTCTGCTCTTTAAATGGTGTTACACGTTGTATAGAACCAATCAAAAAGCTTAGAAATGTACACAAATGCTGATTATTTGTCGATGGGAAGCCGTTTCGAGTGACCGGCACGCGATTGGTCCAGTCACCCTACCGTCAGACTCGCAGCGAGCGCTCTGTGTAATAAACAAGCTAGCAGATCTCCTCAGAAAGATTAAATATTATTAATTTGAGAAATGTCGCTGTCAAAAGCGAGCAAAGTTGCCAAAGCGTCATCAAGCCCCCTGGCCATTGCACACTGAGTCCGCGTTTTTTTCGTATGGGTTTTTTCTTCGTATTGATTCGGTGGCTCCGAATTGTCAAAACACCATTCAAACTGCTTGCTACGGATGCGAAAAACTTACGATTGTTTTTATATAACGGATGAAAGTGTCGTAGTGTGCAAGCGTGATTGACATAACGTGATTGACAAATGTGAATGAGTGTAGCTATTTATCTGCAAGGAGAATTCATTAATGTGTTTGATTAACCCAATATTTGTTGGTATCTCCGTTATGAATTTGTTACGCTGTTATTGTCAACTAGCCTACACTAAGATATGATTGCATAGACTAGCATTATTTGATCTGTTTCCTTGTCTCTCTGCCTCTCACACACACACACACACACACACACACACACACACACACACACACACACACACACACACACACACACACACACACACACACACACACACACACACACTCTCTCTCTCTCTCTCTCTCTCAAGCAATGTAGCACCTCTGTTCAATCTTTCTGATTTTAGTACATTTTTGTAAAAGGTAGGCCTACTGTTAAATTATTTATTCAAATAAAAACTTTAAAATAATTTGAGCTTCAGCCTGGTTTAATAGCATTTATATATTAATGTCTTTGGTCAAATTAAGCTGTAAAATAAATAGTTTATCCCTTTAAATGTAATGGATTTTGAAAGATATCAACAAAAAACGGGCAAAAAACTTTAAAAGCGATTTTCTCAGGTTTTCAATTGGAAAAAGAGGGCAGACGACCATAATTCAAATGTGTATATCTTTACAACCATTCAAGGTATGACTTTGACTAGGATATCAATTGAAAGCTTAAGGTCTCCTCTTTCCATTAATACCAAAATCTCAATTTTTAAATTTGGGTCACTGTGACTCATTTTGCTGGATCAGGTCACATATTATTCAGACCCGACTGTGTCTGGTCTGTTATATATATACGTATATGCATATGTTATGGGGTTCTGGCTTGTTCTGTTAGCTCAGGGGTCCTGAGTTGCAGTGCAACCAGTTACTCAGGGTGCGGCGTTTTGCATGGCGTCCCCACTGTGTATAGCTACGCAATACGAAGTGACCGTTCGAAAGGGAACTACTCGGTTACTATCGTAACCTCAGTTCCCTGAGAGAGGGAACGAGTATTGCGTAGCCGGCCGCACTATGGTAACTGTTGAAGTTGTCGCTTCAGTCGTATAAACCTGCTATAATGGCGAATTCGGGGGTCTATATAGGCTGGGCCACGCCCCCTCGGCGGGTTCTGACGTTGGGCTAGCTCATTGGTCGCGCGTCAGAGTCGCCCGCGCCATTGGATGTGCAGTTGCTGCAACACAGCCTATGAGCGTGTCAGACGCTCAGTGTGCTAGCTGTGCAGCTGCAAATGCGTTTTACATATAGGCTTCAGTAAATCGAGGAAAAGGAGTTTCCCCACTGCGTATAGCTACGCAATACTCGTTCCCTCTCTCAGGGAACTGAGGTTACGATAGTAACCGAGTAGTTCTTTGCAGTGCAAGAATAAATAAATAACTGGTTGTTGTTTAAATAAGTACATTTTCTTTACTCAAGAAACACAATATATATATATAAATATATATATATATATATATATATATATTAGTGCTGGGCAAGTTAACGCGTTATTATCGCGTTAACGCATTTATTAATTAATGCCGACAATTCTTTTATCGCGCGTTAACGCAGCGGTTTTTTTTATTATTATTTTGAAAGTCCGTTGCTCACTGCCTCTGAATACACATAGGCCTACAGTCAAACCATGATCACAGGAGGGGTGGGATGTTGGTCAGCCAGCAAATAACCCACCCAAACAAGCAGTGGAGAGGCTTTGGCAGGTTCTCTCAGGTGAACAGAAAGGGAGACAGCGCTCCGCGAGTGAATGACAGGCGCTCTTAGTAACCATGGCACCGGCTTCTGTGCGCTACGCAGCTGTAGCCTTTTTAACTTAAATTAAAATTATACATAACTTTACCTGATAGGCCTGCGTTTAGTTTAGCGGGGATGCTCTGCCATGTGAATTCCCTCCTGTTGATGTCCTGATAACTATTTAGATTCTGGAAACTCACAAACAGCGAGCCGAGGATCAGTCTCTCTTCCAATGATTTGTGCTGCGCGTCGTGTACAAAAAAGTTAGACAATTCAACTTCGGCAACGCGCGGGCACGTGCGTGAGGCGAGCATGACTGCAACAGTTTCACAGGAACGCACCCGCTTGTCGCTGCACCTGTGCTCGACCACTTCACCTCACTCTAGGCTGATTTATACTTCTGCGTCGGACCTACACCGGAGCCTCTCTACGCTATAGACTACGCGTTGGTTTTCATTTATATATCTGCGTCGTTGTCCGCGTTGACGCGCAATTACACATGAGGGAGAGTGTGAAACCCGGGGAGCGGTTCTAGCAATCACAGCGCTTGCAGTACGCGTAGAATTGACGTTACATTTTTGGAGAGATGCACGTCAGGGTACGCGCGCTACACAGCTACGGCGCGAGTTCGATGCAGAAGTATAAATTGGGCTTTACCTCTGTTTAATGTAATCTTACGTGGGAAACCATGGCATGCCATGACCAAACCTAAGCTGCTATCAGAGAAGTAACGTTGGTCGACTTATATCTGTAGTAGTGATCATGACCCTTTGACTACATAGACTGTTTCTGCTGCTCCCTGATACAAGATACCTGTTCAGAAAAAAACCCCAAGAAAACTGGACTCGTTTTAACAAGCTAGATAAAAGGTAATGCCCTGGCAGTGGCAAATAGCTTTGTTTAAATATTTGATTTGATTACATTAATGTTTAAGTTGAGATTTACAAGAAATATTTTATTGATACTGTGTAAAGGGAATACTGCTGGTATAAAAGCACCTTATTTGTTTAAAGTTTTTGCAAACCACATGTTATTGCACTTTTGTAGCAGTACATTTAAATCAAAAGTGAGCAATACACTACTAGAATTCATTATTCAATTTTGCGCGTAACAATGCGATTAATCGCAAGAAAATCATGAGATTAATCGCGATTAAATTTTTTAATCGTTGCCCAGCACTAATATATATATATATATATATATACACATAAAGGCTAATATTTTATGTATTTGAGGAGCAAAGAAGAGTGTGATAGTCTAGCATTTGCAGTAGAGTCATAGCCAATACTGTTTTAAATAGCCTGTGCGTAGCACTTCATCTTTCATAACATGAGATTTTGGCCAAATGACAGAAAAAAACTGTGCGCACACATAGCAACAGTAAACTTTATAACATGTAACTTGATTAAAAAAAACACTTTTTGGAAAAAGGAATAATGATGTATTGACATTTTAATTTAGTTAATTTTGAAAAAAAAAAGAAAAGAAAAGAAAAGAAAAGAAAAGAAAAAGTGTACCTTTACGCAAAATCGGGTTTAGAACATGCATGTAAATGATAATGTTAACTGCTATATTTAAGTGTGAATTTCTGTTGTGTTTGGACATCTGGACCAGTGTTAATTTCGTTGACGAAAATAACGACGAAAATTATTCGTCAACGACATTTTTTCACAGACGAAAACGAGACGATAACTAAATAAAACCTAGTTTTGAATGACAAAGACTATGACGAAAATCTATTGACATTTTCGTCAACGAATAAAAACTAGACGAAAATGTTAGATAGTGACGATTTGGGAAGCGATCCGTCAGAACTGATGTCCTGCGTGTGTGGTAGATGCGCACATTTGTAGGCTACTGTAACGTGATCTACCCCGCGGTCATAAAACGTTAAAAAATGTGAACGTCTGGGAGAATGAGTAGAGCAGACATATAGATCTCTGAATAAGAGTGACGATGCAAAAAAGAGCTCTATTCGGTGCGGTTTTCTTTGCGCACACACCTAACCCGAAGCGTGCAGTCATGCACAATACACCTACAGCGCGCGAGTAGGCTACTGAATTGAGCTCTCTTTCGTGTCTGAATGGAGAAATACACAACAGTATGTCTAAATTTCCTTTTTGGAGAGTATTCATGTAAACTATGCTGGTTATGTCTTAAACTGTGAGTGTGTCGGATGTGCATCAGTGCAATTGTATCCGCATGTCATTGGACATGATCCGACGTCTTAAAGTGACTGGCAATAAACCTAATGCGGTCCGTGTCCTTAATTTTGATCAAGCAACAAAAGAAAAAGAGAAAAGCATTCACTGTTTGTTAATAGCTTTAATAAGGATTAATTATATTTAATTCATACAAATAAATATGTCTGCTTGAAAGAATAAAGAATGATGTGTAAGTAGTTATAAGGAATGAATATATCATTCATTGTAAAGAAGACTGTGTTGTACTTTAGGAAAAGTGGTTTTATTTCATTTTAAGATATTTTTTAAGTAACAGCAGTTAAATCTGTATCTGTATTGCATGTTCAAACTTAAAAATCATTCATATTAATAGGTTAATAGATGTTTTCTCCGGGAGTATATGGGTTTGGCCATTTTAGAGAAATTCTAAATTAACGCATTTACAATTGAACTAAACCCATTATATTTTAGTCGACTAAATCTACTGTAGATTTAGTCGACTAAAATGTTATTGTATTTCGTCGACTAAAACTAGACTAAAACTAAAACAATTCAGATGACTAAAATATGACTAAAACTAAATGGCATTTTAGTCAAAAGACTAAGACTAAAACTAAATCAAAATTTAATGACAAAATTAACACTGATCTGGACACTAAGTTATAACTGTAAACCATCTACCTGTCTGCATTGTTTGTAGTAGGTGTGTTTGTAGTCTCTGACACGCTAAACTGCTCCAGTTCTCTCACTACATCCTGATGACCCGCCTGCAGGGCCAGATCCCGAGCATCTCTGCCCTGAGAGAGAAAGAAAAAAGGAACGAGATAAAACTAGAAGGAATGAGACAAAACAAGACATGAGGTAGTGGTACTGGTAGTGTTATAAAGGTCTGTGATACACTAATTTGATTTGTTTTTTCCTTTAATGTTCAGGAAATGATTTGCAAAATATTACATCACTAGTGTTTCAGGATTTTGTGTTTGAAGTAGCAGGACTACTTCCATTAGGGATCATATTGGTTAACTTAATTAGTTTAGCTTACAGACATATAACTATTTTTAAAGTCATTTTATGAATAACAATGTATTGTGAAAATGTTTCACTGCTCTTGTATTAAATGTTCACATTTTCTCTTTTTGCCATGTATTCAGTGGCAATATCGTTAAATAAAACTAAAACTATATAAAATATTTTAACTGAAATAAAGATGAAACAAAATAAAATATAAATACTAGATGAAAAACAAACTAAAATAAGCACTAAAATGACAAATTGTAAATAAATAATAATAATAACAAAAGCACATAAAATTACTAAAATGTGAACTAAAATTAAATCTTAAAATATAAAAACAACAGATGATTGAAAATAATAAAAATTACATTAGTATATAAATGATAGTAAAGGTTTTGTCATCTGCTGCTTTAAATGCTCGAGCTCTTTAATGTCGGGTTGATTCTGATTAGCTGTCAATGCTTTTATAGTTCATTAGACGAAAAAAAAAAAGTTCTGAAAAGTTCTTTTGTCATAGAATTTGAATAGTTACCACAATTATACTTAGTTATGGCAAGTATTATAGTCCTTGAATGGGCCTTAAATGTACTGGTAGTGTTATAAAGGTCTATGATACACTAATTTGATTTGTTTTTTCCTTTAATGAAGTCACTTTTTTTCTTTTCTTTTTTTAACATCTAAACCAGTGTTTCTCAACCCTGTCCTGGAGTTTCTTCTAATGAGCTGATGAGTTGAATCAGGTGTGTTTGATTAGGGAGACAAAGGGGCTGTTTACACCTGGCCACTTCATGCGTTTTCCGTGATCGGATAGCTATCCGATCGTGAAAAGACCAGGTGTAAATGCCCTCTGAAACGCATTCGAGACGGATTTAAATCCGATCACTCAAACCACTTCAGGAGGTGGTCTGGGCCGCATTCCAGATGAAACTGGACAAGTGTAAATGCATCTGGTTGTTGAAACCACATATGTAAATTTCACTCCTCACAAAAATGCTAAAAAATAAACGTGTGAGAGCGTGTTATATAGGCTATATGTCATGTTATAGTCAGATATGACGTCGCTACTGCAACACGCATTACCGCAGATGAGCAGCTGAGCATCTATTCATCAAGCCAACGTGCAAACTATCGCAAATCAAAGTGAAAGTAAGTCGCAGACGCTTAACACACTAATCATCTTCATTAAAAGTAAAGAAACGAAATGATCTTACCAGGGCTGTTGCCGCTCCCTCTTATTGCGGTCTTTGATTTTGAAATTAGCTGATGATCAATAAAATGCAGCTCATATCTGTTGCTTTCGGTGACGTGCACTCCATTAAATCTGCATATAGCGCGGGAATTGAAGATCGGATTTATATCCGTTTTGCAAAAACACATTTATGTGACCAGGTGTAAATGGAATCGTTTTGATAAATCAGATAGCTATCCGATCTGAGAAAACGCATGAAGTGGCCAGGTGTAAACAGCCCCAAAGAAAATGTGCAGTGTTGGGGGTCCTTCAGGAGCAGGTGTTGAGAAACACTGATCTAAACCATCCATTTAACTACATTTAATTAAACACCTCCCAAAGAGAACATCTTAGTATTAATAATAATATTAGTATTACTATACTTATTAGTAATAATGCACACAAGTCTAGTTCAAGGGGCATTATCGTGTGACTGATATTTCAAGTGCATAATAATTACAATCAGATCAAATAATCATCAAAGTACTTTAGTAGTTAGAGTGGCCAACAGTACAATCTGATCTATTTATCATCGCTCCACTATCAATCAACTGACCATATTGACAAATTGTTAACAAATAAGTAGAAGTCAATGGGAAAAAAAGCAAATCATCCTTATCTCCACCACTTAAATTTTTCAAAAAGGAAGAGGCAGAGATTTTTTCAAAATTGAATGTTATGCACCTGTTTGTCCACCACTCCCACCCAAGCAGCGCCGTGTTGAAGAAGCAACCGAACAGCCTCTGTTTTTCCTGCCTTACTTGCACACATCACACCCGTCCAGTAAAAATCATCACGGAAGTTGACATCATAGCCACACCGCAAGAGGTCTTTCAAGTCCCGAATGTTGCCCTCCTGGGCATATCGGAGAAGTTTGTGTCCATCACGCTCTGAGGTGCTGACCGGTTGGACATAAGAAGTGTCTTGTCTTTGTGCGTCTCTTCTTCTTCGACTGGGTCCTCATGTCAAAAGATAATGGGTTATCATGATAAAACTGTAGAGTAATGTGTCTTAAACAGCTACAACTATTATAAATTAAAAGGGATGTCTAATGCTATTTCATGCATACTGACATGTATTTACACTGTTAAAGAGTTGGATTCTCCTGCTAAACATGGCCAAAATGTCAAAATACAAGTTGAACATTATTCTGTGCCAAAATACACTCCTTCAGGGTTCGTATAAGTTTCGGAAAGTTTCCCCCCCCCCCCCCCCCCCCCGAGTATAGTCCTGTATGAAGGGCGGAATTCCTTTTATAGGCACTTTTCCTGGAAAAGCGCACGCACACATCAACCAGAGTGAGAATAGGAGCACGCCCATCAACGTGCTTCGTTTGGGTTACGGAAGTCGTCGGCAGTGCTGCACGGCATGCGTCCAAGAGCTCAACTGTTTTCGGAAAGAAGCGGTACAGCTGTATCTGTCTTTTAGAAATCTGATAAAACTAAAGACTCTTTAGATATATGAAGAATGCAATACTACTCTATGGGTACTCAAGAATAACATGAGTGTTAAGTCCCCTTTAAACTCTAAAGGAATGCAAAGATAATTTTTTTTAATGAAGACTACTCATACTGTATGGGATTTTGAAGAGCACAATTACTGTTTAGCCTAGACTTTATGCACCAGAGAAACAAGCGCACAGCCATCTTTAAAATTTTGTTTAAACTTCCAGTTTTGCGGTAGCTCTGTATATTACTATGGCATTGCTTTGGAACGTTGGTTACTTGTGTAACCATTTTTCTATGAATGGTAGAAGACCGCCAGAGACCGTCAGTACATGGTGGAAAGAGTGGCGTCTCGCACATCATATCGAGAATCTCGTATTAATTCAGTCACACGTGACTATGACCGATGACAGGTTGGATACTATATCAGTTCTGACTACGTCACGGTCGGCCTCTTAGTCATTCTTAATCAGTGAATAGGCTGATTTGTGAACTGAGATGACAATACCTTGGGCTGGAAAGCTGGGTTTGGCCAAAGTGTAACTTGATTGCCCTCTGGCCCTCACCTGAGACACTGCGGACTCTCCATCTGTTCAAAAATCCCTTGAAAATCCCACTGGGAACACACTAAGCTTAAGCCGCATAGCTCCTATAAGAAAAGCCACCACTAGCCTATTTGCACTGATTGTCACCTGCCCCATAGGATCCCGATGGGCTGACAGGGCTGCCACAAACACCTTAAGAGTGGCTGGAGAACTTCCAATAAGTACTGCAGAAAGTCCAAGACTACACTGATAGGGCAATCAATTGAAAACCATAACAGGCAATGAGTCGTTGCCTTGCTGGCAAAGAGGTCCACGGCTGCTGTTCCAAAAATTATCCAGATTGACCGAACAACTTCCTTGTGCCACACTGTTGCAGCAACCGGAATGTGTGCTGCTCTGACTGACAGGAAGTGTTTGTTTGCCCACAATGGAAGCACTCTCGTCCACTGGAGACAGGGTAGGGACCTCGTGCCTCCCTGGTGGTTGTTTAAAAATACCACTGTGGTATTGTCCGTCCATATCAGAATGTGTCTCCCTGAAGAGTTCCTGCCTGAAATGTCTCAGGGTAAAGAGTACTGCCCACAGCCCCAGGAGGTTGATGTGAGGTGCCCCCAACTGTGGGTCCCAACTGCCCCGTATACTTCGGTGTTGCCAAAGTCCTTCCCAGGCATCTGCAATTCGTAACATGCTGAAAGGAAGACGGTTGAGGCTCTTGAGGTCCAGGATGGGCATGAAGCTCCCATCTTTCTTAAGGACAAGAAAATATTTTGAGTGGAATCCCCCAGGGTGGATGTGGGGGTCTACTGGCTCTATCGGATCCTTCTACAAAAGCTTTTGGACCTCCATCGGGCAAGGGCACTGACAAGGGTCCTGGACCACTGTAGAATGGACATGGGTGCTCACTAGGGGTCAGTGACGGAACTGAAGGCAATAGCCCAGTTCAGTCCAGTCAGTGCAGGATGGTTCACACTGCGCCCAATATGCTGAGATCGGGATTCTGTTGCTAGAGGTAACTGACGAAGGTTGTTACGGCATGCCGCTGAAAGCTTGGACTGAGCAAACCACACTTGCCACCTGGCCTGCGTAATAAGCCCAAGAGACTTTCCACTGGAGAAGGCAATCAATCCAAAGGCCTTCTGAGAAGCGTCACCAGCAACAGATGAGCCATTGATTTCCCCACACGACTCAACCCTGAGACAGTGCTATAAATACGCACCAATAAGTAATCAGTACACCTGCATGGTTTGGGGCTGCAGATTTCCTGTTTCAGGGCTTCATCTGGAGATACCAATGGAAGATTGAAGATTTCAAGGAAGAAGTACATGGCTCTAAAGAAGGCATGCTACCGAGCCCTTTCTCCTGGGCTTCGGCCATTGCTCCCAGAGTGTGCGCTACTCAATCCGGCCTGGATGACAGAGCCGAGCGAAACGCAGATAAGACCACAAGTCCAGCTCCTCCCTGGAACATTCAGCTGCTGGTTTGAACCTGGGCAATATGGAGGTATATACGGATCCCCCCCATTTCCTCATTTACGTTCAGAGTGGCAGAAGGAAATGACATTGCCAACAGAGCTTGAATGCCCTGCACAGCATTATAGTTTAGCCACCTGGTGGGATAGTGTTGTAGAGGTGGTCTGTTTCTTCCTGGGAGGCCCTTCAGTTTTGCTAGCTTTTGCTAGTCACTCTGCGAGAACGTCAAGAGCGCGTAAGTTGTTTTTTCTTAATATCCAGTTCTCCTGTTGCTCTGTTTACCATTTGTCAAGTAAGTAGGGCTATTTTCAATTCTTTGCTTCTTTGTAATTTTTATCTTCACTAAATATCTTTATTTTAATTAGACGCGTTCCTATTTTGAATATCTGCCGTCTTAAGGGTTGTAGTCTGTTTGTTATTGTAGCACTTAAGTATTGCTGTTCATAACAGCTAGTTTCGATTTGGGCCATTCTCGGGATATTTGCTTTCGCTGTGCTAATTGCAAGGGCTGTTAAAGCAGATATAAATTAGAAGTAAATTCAGGTGAAAGCCAGGACAAGCAGTCACTCTGCGAGAACGTCAAGAGCGCGTAAGTTGTTTTTTCTTAATATCCAGTTCTCCTGTTGCTCTGTTTACCATTTGTCAAGTAAGTAGGGCTATTTTCGATTCTTTGCTTCTTTGTAATTTTTATCTTCACTAAATATCTTTATTTGAATTAGACGCGTTCCTATTTTGAATATCTGCCGTCTTAAGGGTTGTAGTCTGTTTGTTATTGTAGCACTTAAGTATTGCTGTTCATAACAGCTAGTAGTGTTGTAGTACTCGAGACCGGTCTTGGTCTCGAGACCGGTCTCGAGACCACTTTTTGATGGTCTCGGTCTCGTCTCGGACTCGACCGCATTTGGTCTCGGTCTTGTCTCGGTCTCGGACACTGAGGACTCGGGATTTTTTTTCAAGACCAGACAAGACCATAACTGTGAAAATATCACTAATCTGCCAGTATATTGACTAATTTTTTTGTTAACATCCTTGCTTTTATTGTATGTAAAACGTACTGATTCAAATCCAAGCAATAACGTGACTCATTGGTCATTGCTTATGTATTTTTGTTACCGTTGCCTGTCACCCATCCCCGCCCCCTTTCACTCGCACGACGCACTCCCAAGAAAGTGATCTGTGGTTGTCTGGGAGCGGGAGAAAATGTCTGCAAAATCTTCAGTAATAAAATTCGGCTACAAAAATCGTAAAGAAAATATTTGCAAAACAACATCCAGAAGAAAGCATACAGCTTCTTGTAAATTCTGCAGTGCTTCGCTTTCAGAGACGGTGGGGACTACGTCAAACTTTTATCACTTAGAAAGGCAGCACAAAGAAAGGTAAGGTATGTGTAAGTGATGTTAGCAAAGCTGGCTAGCTAACGTTAGCAATCTGCCTCGTACCAAATAAAATTACTCCTCACACAAAGAGATTTTGTCAATATTAGCTAACGTTATACATATTACAGGGATGGGAATTGAAAACCGGTTCCACTCGAGAACCGGTTCTAAGTTTTATGAACCATCGATATTGAATGCCCTCAACGTTAACGAGTCCTCTTATGCTCCTGCTCCAAAGCGAATTTTTGTCCCGCCATAGTCTTATTTGATAGATGAGTAATGTAGACGAACTGCTGTGCGTGTGACAGGGCGCACCAGAAGAACGAGCAGAGAGAGCGCCCCGGTCGCGCGCGCGCACTCTCTCTCTCTCTGCGGAGCCAGGCGAATGTATAAAGGCTTCACCGTCTCCTAAGCGCTGTCTTGCTCTCTCTCCCTGGCACATAGTAATCAAAATAAATCGACACGATGTATGGTAAAAGGTCGGAAGACCATAGTTTCATGTGTAGCATTCGGATATTTTTTTTTTTCCTGAATTACCGCTGGGTGAATTGCGCTAAAATACCTTATCTTCTCTGAAAAGCGTTCCGCACATTCAGCTGACATAAACCACACTTTAAATAAACGAAAAAAAAACCTATCCAGTGATTAAATGTTTTCTGTGTTGACACAAATCTTGTGGGATGTCACGAGACAGGCCACAAAGTTGAGTAGCTAATTTTAAGTAAGAAAAGTGAAGACTTGTTTTACATTCTGTACTAAATGATGGAAGTCACCCAGGAGTATTGAATAAAGATGGTTACGTTTATTTCAGCTTTGAGTGTTAAATATCTGTTTTTAATGGGAATGTGGATCTTTCAGATCAATTTGAGAAGCTCTTTTGATCATGTTTCACATTTTATTGTGTCATGTAGTGTGGGGCGCTGGTCTTGGTCTTGACTCGGTCTCGCCCTCCCTCGGTCTTGGTCTTGTCTTGGTCTCGGCCCCTAAAAGTCTTGGTCTTGTCTCGGTCTCGATACACTCTGGTCTTGGTCTTGTCTTGGTCTCGGGTTAGGTGGTCTTGACTACAACACTAACAGCTAGTTTCGATTTGGGCCATTCTCGGGATATTTGCTTTCGCTGTGCTA